AACAGATTAAAATTAACATATTTCATCAGACCTTTTGTGAAATAATAAAGTTTGCGACACACCACAAACTGCGAAATCTATTGCGTCCCTGTTTCAATCCGACAAAACTAATCCCGAAGAATCTGACCCAAATTCAGCTAGTATTATTACATCACCGACACAATCATTAGAAAATCATGAATCAATAGAACAAGCAATAAAAACATTAGAAGAAAAAATAAAATTAGATCAACATGAGCATGCTATACGTATTTTATTACGTCAATTACAACAACCTGAATATAAGAATGAAACGGTTGATGATGATTCTTCTACCGTCTCAAAAAAGAAGCCAGTTCGAACAAACAAATTGGCCGGTACATTTCCAAAATCAAGACCCCAATCTGGATTTTATTCATACAATAATAATTCACAAAGATCACAAACAATTATTGAACGTAAAACTCCAATTGTCTCTACTTTACCTGCGAAAAATCTTTGTACTTGTAGAGATCCTGATAGTTTTTGGTGTCGAGTATGTGAAAATCGAAGGTTTAAAGCCGCGTTTCCGAAATGGACAAGTGGAAATAAAATTATTGATGCTTTTATCCAAGAAACTCAATTAACCACGGCTGGTCCGTTTAATTATTTGGAATGGATACCTTTTGACAAGTTTCGTTATATTAAAAGCCTTGGTGAAGGAGGTTATGGATCTCTTTCAACTGCTACTTGGTTGGAAGGTCCAAGAAGTTTACAAGATGAGAAAATGCGAACAAAATGGAAACGAGATATTCGAAAGAAAGTTGTCTTGAAATTTTTACGAAATTCTGAACATATTACCCAAGAATATCTTAGTGAGGTACGCAATAAGATACTTTTTTTTTTTTTTTAAAAAAAAAAAATTTTTCTAAATTTTAACAAATTTTTTTTTTAAATTTAATTATAGTTTGCGGCCTACTATAAACGAATTTCATGGGATAACTGTATGTTGCAGTGTTATGGCATGTCACAAGATCCTAGCACGAAGAATTATGTAATCGTTCTAGAATATGCTGAACATGGTAACTTAAGGAAATATTTATCAGAAAATATAGCAAACACAAGTTGGAAACTTAAATTATCATTGGCTTGTGACATTGCTAAAGCATTGAAAACTATTCACGGAGCAAATTTAATACACCACGATTTTCATTGTGGCAATGTATTGATTACAAATGATGTGTATACAGCTATGGGAGACCTTGGATTATGTCGTCCAATTGACAATAAACTCGAAGAAGGGCAAGTTTTTGGAGTTTTACCTTACCTCGCTCCAGAAGTTATTAAAAAACAAAAATTTAGCAAAAGCTCAGACATTTATAGTTTTGCTTATATGATGTGGGAAATATCTTCAGGCATAAGGCCGTTTATTGATAGAGCACATGATTCTGAATTGGCATTTGATATATGTATGGGATTGCGTCCTAAACCTGTAGATGGGACTCCGCCGTGTTACACTGCATTAATGGAACAATGTTGGGATCCGGATCCTTCCAAAAGACCAAGTGCAGAATCGTTACATAGAACTTTACATGATTGGGCAAGAAAAATTATCGAGACACCAAAACTTCCTTATAAGGTTAATACGGAATTCGCTGTGGCTGAACAGTGGCGTATTAGAAGACATTCACCTGCAACAACTGAAGTAATTCATCAAAAAGCTAAATATACAAGTCAACTTTTTGATTTTCGTGAATTGAATATTCCTGACATGGAAGAGATGGCTTGTGAAATATCACATTCTGAGCATGCTCAATCTCAGCAACCTGCCGCTGAAAGTAATACTCCTCCTAATCATGATACTATAAGTATGTAAAGTATCTTTATTCAATAACTTATTACTTTGTATTGTTATAATATTTGAAATATATTTTAAATTTGATTATTTTAATAGATCAGAAAACTCCGTCAAAGGAACATGTTGAAATTGAATTCTAAAGAGACTTTATCAATGAGCCGATTTTTAGTTTCCATTCGTTGTAAATTTATTCCCTTTATTACTAGCTTGTTGGAAATAGGACAATTAATTTGGTATGAGAATATGAATAATGCAGGTTTACCTAATTCGTTATACCGTATCTTAACATGTTGTAAATGTAAATTAGTTTAAATTTTTTTCTTTCATTTTGCAATTAGTAAGTTCTTTGGGCATAGTAATATTTTGAAAAATATTTTGACAATATTCTTTAAAATAAATTGAAGGTTATTCGAGTGTATTATAAAATTCTACGTTGAAAGGTTTGGTTTTATAATAAAACAGATTGTGAATCATTTTTTTTTTATATATTTATATATCGTTATCTTTTTATTTTATTTTATTTTACTATTTCATATAATTCAGCAACCTTTTGTTTATATAAAGTTAATAAATCTTCTGAATTTAGCTTCAATTGTAATAAAAATCCTATTTATTATCTTTATATATTATATATTGAATTAGAAATAAAAGATTATAAGAAAGAAAATACTAGTAGTATTATCTAATATTACTTAAAAAGAAATTTCTAAGTTTACACGGGGTGTATGTACCCGTATCATGTGACATATACTTGTCACCGGCGTCACGCCCCTCCGTCTTTAGTTTTTACTATTTATTGAAATTTTTCGGTGAAAAATTCTTCATTAACCGTCACATGGACGTCATACAGGTAATTCTTAATTTCTTCATATTGGTATAAAGTAATGTTAATGCCGGCCGTATCACATGACCGTGTACAATACACCCGTGTACAAATAGAAATTGCCTACTTAAAAATATTTATAATTATAAGATTACAAAAATAAACTCATTTTAATTTTAAAAACTTATAATTTTATTATTAATATTAGTATCTTAAATTTTAAAAAGAACTTAATATTCAATTAATAATATTGATTTTAGAATTTTTATTTAAATAAATTTTAAGTATTAAAACCCTTTAATTATAAATAAAACTAAGATTTGATTCTGATTTATTATTAATAAAAATCAATTCTTTAAAAATTAATCAATCTATAGAACAAAAAATACTAGTTGTTAAGTATGCAAAAGAACGAAAAATAATAATATGACAAAACATTTTAATATTGATTTTAGTATGGTAGGACATTAGGTGACAGTAAGCTCAAACTGGGATTTTGAAACTAACGAAAAAAGCAAGTGACTCAGTTTTGATCAAAAATCTTTTTTTCTCAAGACTGAAAAAAGACTTTATAGTTGGATCATTAGACAAAGAAAGCAAGACTTAGCTGTGTCATATGCAATTTTACGAAGTAAAATGGTGAAAATTCTAAAAGAAATGGATATGTTAGAACTTTATGGAGGTTTAGCAGAGAATTTCAAAATGTCTTAATGTTGGTTAATAGCATTTTTAAAAAGATATAAATTAACATTATGAAGACATACAAGGATATCCTAAAAGCTCTCAAGTAACACTCAAGAACTATTAAATAAATTCTATAAATTCATCATTCGTCTTAGACTCAAAAAATCTTACGAATTAAGAAACATTTTTAATATGAATGAAACATCCATTTGGTTTAACATGGCTGGCAACTTTACGATAAATCAAAAGGGTGAAAAAACAGTTCATATTCATTCGATAGGTAATGAAAAAAATAGATTTACCTTCATTTTAACATGTATTACAGATATTCTTATTATTTTTTTATTTTTATTTATTTAATTTTTTTTATTTTAAAACTTCTAAATTTATTAATTTATTATAGATAGAATCAAATTACCCCATTTACATCTTTAAAGAAAAGCAAATATCACATGAAAACAAATCCCTTCTGATGTTATAGTTTAGTTCCAAAAAATGGCTGGATAAATTCAAACTTAATGCTAAAATATGTGAATTTCTTTAATAATACAAGATCAGAAAATGATATTCAGAGAAATCTAATAATATTAGTCTATAATTCTTTTAAAGGCCATTTGGAAGAATCTGTTAAAAAAAATTTTAGGATAGTGGGTTTGATTTAGCAGTAATTCTAGCCAACGTTTGTTAATCAATTAATGTTTCAATAAATAAGCCCTTTAAAAAACAATTTTTGCAAAAAATGGCATATATAGATAGCAGATGGTGATGCTAGAGAAACTGTTTTAAGAAACCTTCATTGTATTAGAATTAGTGATGTGTATTTATGAGTCAAGTATTCCTGAAAGACAATCTTAAATGAAATTATCTTTGAGTCTTTTAAGACTTATGAGATATCAATAAATTTAAATGAATCAAACTCTGATTTAAAAATAGTAATGATGATGATAGTAATAGCATTAATGATAATAATGCTAATAATAATGCTTAGAGTTCTGAATGAGTTGAGTCGAGTCGAGTTTAAAGACTAACTCTATTTGACTCATTTTTTTCAAGTCGAGTCAAGTCAAATTTATTTTATAAAATTTTTCGATTTGATTTGATTTGAGTTATATAAATTTAAACTCGACTCAATTTGACTCGACTCGATTTTAACTCGATTTGATTTTGACTTGAATTTATTCAAAATTTGTTATCATTCAACTTGAATGAATTTTTTATTGTTCAAGTCGAACGATTTGTTATTGTTCTTCTTGAACGATTTTTTTATCGTTCAAGTCAAACGATTTGTTATCGTTCAAATCGAACTATTTGTTATTGTTCAAGTCGAACGATTTGTTATCGTTCTTGAATGATTTTTTTATCGTTCAAGTTGAACGATTTGTTATCGTTCTTCTTGAATGATTTTTTTATTGTTCAAGTCGAACGAT